GTGAGGGGCTGGGGCTGGGGCTTTCCTGACACGTGGCTGAAAGGAGAAGCGAGAGTTTGGGGGGGGGGGAGGGCAGAGCCTCTCGGTGAGAGGGGAAACTGAGGCCAGAGGGTGTGGGGGGGTCCCACAGGTGCCCCCAGAGCCATGAGGACCCTCGTGCTGCTGTGGGTGGCCCTGGCCGGAGCGGGGGCCCAGCTGCTGTGTCCCGAGGGGGGACCGTGCCCCGTCACCCCGGTGAGTGTGCAGGGTTTGGGGGGGGCACAGGGGGGTCCCCAGCAAGGGATAACCCCCACCCCCCCCGTGCCCCCCTCCCCAGGCCCTGCCTGCCCGCAGCGCAGTGGGATGCCAGGATGGTTCATCCTGCCCTGCCAGCACCAGCTGCTCCCTGCCCGAGGTGAGACTTCCCCCGCCACCAATGCCTCTTTTTTCCCCTCTCCCTGACACTTTTGGGGATTCCCTGACCCCCCCTTTGTGTCCCCCCAGAGCGTCCCCTGTGCCGGGGGTCAGCTCTGCTGTCCCCAAGGGTCCCACTGCGGCGCTGACGGGGAGTCCTGCGTCCCAAACCCAGGTACGGGGTGGAGGCCATGGGAGGGTGTGGGGGGACAGGAGGGACACGGGGGTTCCTCACCCTGTCCCTGCAGCCCCCCGTGCTGTGCCCTGTCCCGATGGAACATCCGAGTGTCCCGATGACGCCACGTGCTGTGTGACGGCCGACGGCGCCTGGGGGTGCTGCCCCATGCCCCAGGTACGGGCCGGGGGGGGACATGGGGACACTTTGTAGGGTGACACAACGAGGCCATGGACATGACAAGCATCTCTGGTGCCTGCAGGCCTCGTGCTGTGCCGACAAGGTGCACTGCTGTCCCCACGCCACCACCTGCGACCTGGCCCGCGGGCGCTGCCTGTCCCCCGGCGGTGACAGGGACGTCCCCCTGAGCAGGGCCTTCCCCGCCTGGAAGCGCCAGCTCCCCGCCCCAGGTAAGGGGTGTCCCCAGGGAGGGCACGCAGGGGTGGGGAGGGGATTTTGGTGGCACGGTGGTGACACAGAGTGTGTGTGTGTCCCCCCCCACACAGTGGAGCTGCGCCAGGTGCTGTGTCCCGGCGGCCGCTCGGCGTGTCCCGACGGAGCCACCTGCTGCCAGCTGTCCCCAACCGAGTATGGCTGCTGTCCCCTGCAGAACGTGAGTGCTGGCACTGGCCTGGGCACCCCACCCTGTGCCAAACACCCCGAATGAACCCGTCACATAGGCACCCCAAACAGCCACCCCTCACTGGGCACCCCAGACCAAGCACCCTGTGCGTGATCACCCCACGCTGGGCAGCCTGTAACAAAATAAGGACCAAAATAAGGACCCCTCACCGGGCAGCCTGTGCCTGGCACCCCAAACCAGACACCCCACACCCACCAGTCACCCCATCCCAGGCCAGGCAAGCATCCCAGGCCCGGTACCCTAATTCCAGGCACCCCACACTGATCACTGCATGCCCAGCACCCTGTATTGCCCCCTCCATGCCTGCTGCCCACACTGGGCACCCTGTGCTGTCAGCACCCCATGTTGGGCACCCTGTGCTGTGTCCCCAACACCTGGCACCCTGTATTGAGCAACCCCCACCAACCACCCCATGCTGAGCACCCCGTATTGGGCACCCCACTGCAGGCACCTCATGCCGTGCCCCCCATATTGGGCACCCTCTGTGCCGTGCCCCCCCAGCAGCCCCCCTGTCCCCAGGGTCCCTGTCAGCGCTGTTTCTCTCTGCCCCCAGGCCGTGTGCTGCAGTGACAGGCAGCACTGCTGTCCCCAGGGCACCACCTGTGACCTGACCCGCTCCACCTGCACCTCCCTGGGGGGCTCCACAGCCCTGGCAGCGCTGCCCAGAGGTGAGAACCCCCCCTCCCCGGGGGGCAGCCACCCCCTCCACTGTGTGCTGTCCCAGGGAGGGGACACCAGCTCTGAGTTGTGCCCGTGTCCCCAGCTGGTGAGATCAAGTGTGACGAGGAGACGAGCTGCCCCGACGGCAACACCTGCTGCAGGCTCAGCTCGGGGGCCTGGGGGTGCTGCCCCCTCGAGCAGGTATGGAGGGTGGGGGTCCCCTGTGCCCCCTGGGACAGGCAGATCCTGTCCCTTGGGTGAGATGAGGGCAGATGTCCCCTCGTCCACCTGGAAGGAACAAGGGTGGGAGTCCTTTCTACGCCCCCCAGGACAAGGTTAGATGTCCTCTGTTCCCCTTGGAGGGGCAAGGTTGGGGTCCCCTGAACCCCCTGGTGAAGCAGATGTCCCCTGGAGAGATACAGAAGACTCCCTCCTGCCAGTGTCCCGAGGGGATGGTGGTGACACTGGGTCCCACCAGTCAGACCCTCTGTGCTAACTGGGACCAGTTTGGGGCTCCAGTGGCAGGAGGTGATCCAGGGACAAAAGCCACCAGGATTCTCAGGGACACAAGGGTGCTCAGGGACCTTCATGTGTCCCACTGAGGGGGAGGGGGGGCAAGACTGATGACCTGGGGATGGCAGGAACAGACAGGAGGGGGGGTACATTTGTCCCCTGAGGTCCCATGGGGGGGTGTCCCCTATGCTCAGCCCCCTCTTTCTGCCCCCCCAGGCCGTCTGCTGCCCCGA